GTTAAGAAAGTAGAAAAAAAAAGGCCTGGGGGGGGGGGTTCCAAAGCTTAAACAACTCCCATCCTGTTCCTGGACAATCAATATCTACACATTTTATGGTGATTGAATGAAGGTGTCTGTGCTACCTGTGGGGGGTATTAATGCTGGGGTATGTTCCTGGTATAGTGGGGGTATAAATGTTGGGGTATGTTCCTAGTATGGAGCGGATATAAATGTTGGGGTATGTTCCTGGCATGGTGGGGGGTATAAATGCTGGGGTATGTTCCTGGTATGGTGGGGGTATAAATACTGGGGCATGGTCCTGGTATGATGAAGGTATTAACGTTGGGGTATATCCCTGGTATGGTGGGAGTATAAATGTTTGGGTATGTTCCTGGTATGATGAGGGTATAAATACTGGGGCATGGTCCTGGTATGATGAAGGTATTAACGTTGGGGTATATCCCTGGTATGGTGGGAGTATAAATGTTTGGGTATGTTCCTGGTATGATGAGGGTATAAATACTGGGGCATGGTCCTGGTATGATGAAGGTATTAACGTTGGGGTATATCCCTGGTATGGTGGGAGTATAAATGTTTGGGTATGTTCCTGGTATGATGAGGGTATAAATACTGGGGCATGGTCCTGGTATGATGAAGGTATTAACGTTGGGGTATATCCCTGGTATGGTGGGAGTATAAATGTTTGGGTATGTTCCTGGTATGATGAGGGTATAAATACTGGGGCATGGTCCTGGTATGATGAAGGTATTAACGTTGGGGTATATCCCTGGTATGGTGGGAGTATAAATGTTTGGGTATGTTCCTGGTATGATGAGGGTATAAATACTGGGGCATGGTCCTGGTATGATGAAGGTATTAACGTTGGGGTATATCCCTGGTATGGTGGGAGTATAAATGTTTGGGTATGTTCCTGGTATGATGAGGGTATAAATACTGGGGCATGGTCCTGGTATGATGAAGGTATTAACGTTGGGGTATATCCCTGGTATGGTGGGAGTATAAATGTTTGGGTATGTTCCTGGTATGATGAGGGTATAAATACTGGGGCATGGTCCTGGTATGGTGGGGGTATAAATGCTGAGGTATGTTCCTGGTATGGTGGGGGTATAAATGTTGGTATGTTCCTGGTATGATGAGGGTATAAATACTGGGGCATGGTCCTGGTATGATGAAGGTATTAACGTTGGGGTATATCCCTGGTATGGTGGGAGTATAAATGTTTGGGTATGTTCCTGGTATTGGGGGGTATAAATACTGGGGTATGTCCCTGGTATGGTGGAGGGTATAAATACTGGGGTATGTTCCTGGTATGGTAGGGGTATAAATGTTGGGGCATGGTCCTGGTATGGTTGGGGTATAAATACTGGGGTATGTCACTGGTATGGTAGGGGTATAAATGTTGGGGTATGTGCCTGGTATGGTGGGGGTATAAATGTTGGGGTATGTTCCTGGTATGGTGGGGGTATAAATGCTGGGGTATGTTCCTGGTATGGTGGAGGTATAAATTCTGGGGTATGTTCCTGGTATGGTAGGAGGTATGAATGTTGGGGTATGTTCCTGGTATGGTGGGGGTATAAATGTTGGGGCATGGTCCTGGTATGGTGGGGGTATAAATGCTGGGGTATGTTCCTGGTATGGTGGGGGTATAAATACTGGGGCATGGTCCTGGTATGGTGGGGGTATAAATGCTGAGGTATGTTCCTGGTATGGTGGGGGTATAAATGTTGGTATGTTCCTGGTATGATGAGGGTATAAATACTGGGGCATGGTCCTGGTATGATGAAGGTATTAACGTTGGGGTATATCCCTGGTATGGTGGGAGTATAAATGTTTGGGTATGTTCCTGGTATTGGGGGGTATAAATACTGGGGTATGTCCCTGGTATGGTGGAGGGTATAAATACTGGGGTATGTCCCTGGTATGGTGGAGGGTATAAATACTGGGGTATGTTCCTGGTATGGTAGGGGTATAAATGTTGGGGCATGGTCCTGGTATGGTTGGGGTATAAATACTGGGGTATGTCACTGGTATGGTAGGGGTATAAATGTTGGGGTATGTGCCTGGTATGGTGGGGGTATAAATGTTGGGGTATGTTCCTGGTATGGTGGGGGTATAAATGCTGGGGTATGTTCCTGGTATGGTGGAGGTATAAATTCTGGGGTATGTTCCTGGTATGGTTGGAGGTATGAATGTTGGGGTATGTTCCTGGTATGGTGGGGGTATAAATGTTGGGGTATGTTCCTGGTATGGTGGGGGTATAAATGCTGGGGTATGTTCCTGGTATGGTGGGGGTATAAATACTGGGGCATGGTCCTGGTATGGTGGGGGTATAAATGCTGAGGTATGTTCCTGGTATGGTGGGGGTATAAATGTTGGTATGTTCCTGGTATGATGAGGGTATAAATACTGGGGCATGGTCCTGGTATGATGAAGGTATTAACGTTGGGGTATATCCCTGGTATGGTGGGAGTATAAATGTTTGGGTATGTTCCTGGTATTGGGGGGTATAAATACTGGGGTATGTCCCTGGTATGGTGGAGGGTATAAATACTGGGGTATGTCCCTGGTATGGTGGAGGGTATAAATACTGGGGTATGTTCCTGGTATGGTAGGGGTATAAATGTTGGGGCATGGTCCTGGTATGGTTGGGGTATAAATACTGGGGTATGTCACTGGTATGGTAGGGGTATAAATGTTGGGGTATGTGCCTGGTATGGTGGGGGTATAAATGTTGGGGTATGTTCCTGGTATGGTGGGGGTATAAATGCTGGGGTATGTTCCTGGTATGGTGGAGGTATAAATTCTGGGGTATGTTCCTGGTATGGTAGGAGGTATGAATGTTGGGGTATGTTCCTGGTATGGTGGGGGTATAAATGTTGGGGTATGTTCCTGGTATGGTGGGGGTATAAATGCTGGGGTATGTTCCTGGTATGGTGGGGGTATAAATACTGGGGCATGGTCCTGGTATGGTGGGGGTATAAATGCTGAGGTATGTTCCTGGTATGGTGGGGGTATAAATGTTGGTATGTTCCTGGTATGATGAGGGTATAAATACTGGGGCATGGTCCTGGTATGATGAAGGTATTAACGTTGGGGTATATCCCTGGTATGGTGGGAGTATAAATGTTTGGGTATGTTCCTGGTATTGGGGGGTATAAATACTGGGGTATGTCCCTGGTATGGTGGAGGGTATAAATACTGGGGTATGTCCCTGGTATGGTGGAGGGTATAAATACTGGGGTATGTTCCTGGTATGGTAGGGGTATAAATGTTGGGGCATGGTCCTGGTATGGTTGGGGTATAAATACTGGGGTATGTCACTGGTATGGTAGGGGTATAAATGTTGGGGTATGTGCCTGGTATGGTGGGGGTATAAATGTTGGGGTATGTTCCTGGTATGGTGGGGGGATAAATGCTGGGGGATGTTCCTGGTATGGTGGAGGTATAAATTCTGGGGTATGTTCCTGGTATGGTAGGAGGTATGAATGTTGGGGTATGTTCCTGGTATGGTGGGGGTATAAATGTTGGGGTATGTTCCTGGTATGGTGGGGGTATAAATGCTGGGGTATGTTCCTGGTATGGTGGAGGTATAAATTCTGGGGTATGTTCCTGGTATGGTAGGAGGTATGAATGTTGGGGTATGTTCCTGGTATGGTGGAGGTATAAATTCTGGGGTGTGTCCCTGGTATGGTTGAGGGTATAAATACAGGGGTACGTCCCTGGTATGGTGGGGGTATAAATGTTGGGGCATGGTCCTGGTATGGTGGGGGGTATAAATGTTGAGGTATGTTCCTGGTATGGTGGGGGTATAAATGTTGGGGCATGGTCCTGGTATGGTGGGGGGTATTGGGGAATGTTCCTGACACTCATTAGAACTAAAGAAGTGGCTTGGAGGAGCCACGGAACATCTTCAGCATCACAGAATAGCTCCAGGTGAATGACTCCCACCAGCCATGGCGGGACGTTGTTCTTGTGACTCTTTTATGCTTTGTATGTATTTGTCTTGTAACTGAAGAATTTTACTACAAATCAGATACAAAGTGAAGGTCCGGAGAAAAGGAAATCGGCTTTTTCAGAAACATCTCACATCTCAAAGCAGAGAAAAAGTGAAGAAACGGAAGACCCGGCCGGAGGTTACCCCAAGCCCTCATCTTCAACAACCGTACATGCCCCTGCTGGGTGGTCAGACACGAGAGACACGACTTCCGGGGGAAGAACATTCAGTTCCCTTGCTGGGAAAGAGACTGGAACAAAGGCGGCCTGTGGAAATCCGAGCACTTCACAGTCCGCCCAGAACAGCGGTCCGGAAATGTATACCGATCCCTCAGGCAGCCATTCCTTCTATACCAGCCAGGATATCTCGGGACATTTCAGTGAAGCTCCTCTGCCGAGACAAAGGTTTCACATCGAGTCATCCGCGTATCCCGACGAAACTACCAAGGACGAAAAAATTCAGCGCCTGAAAGAAGTGTTGAAGGAACGGGAGCAAGCTCTGGAGGCTTTAAGACGACAGAAGTGGTCCTAGAATTCACATTAAAGGGTGAGGGCACTTTAAAAAACAAAGTGTATTTATCCTTTTTGCCCTCCCCCTTACCCTGAACTGACCTAACCCACCCTCCAAAGATGCATATTCACCCCCATGCAAGGGCCGCGGCCTCCGCTGTTTGCTTACATCCACGCCTGCACATTAGAGGCCTGTAGACTTCTATATGCCCTTACCTCAATGCAGTGGCCGTGGCCTCCGCTGATTGGTCCAGGGAAGCACCAGTACCGGTATTTCAGTATCTAGTACGAGTATCACATTTTTATTGTCCCATTCTGGAAGCCAGGTGGCGTGTAATGACTCCCCACCCGACTTCCCGATTAGCAGGGAAGCTGTCCCCATGCTTATCGTCACCAGGTGACGAGAAAGCATGGTGCCGGCTCTCTGGCCAATCATTTAGCCGGGCGCGGTGTAATGACGCGACGCCCGGCTTCCTGAGTGGCCGTCGGGAGGTGACGAGGGAGCATGAAGCCGGCTTCCCGACCAATCAGAAAGCCGGGCCCCGTGTCATTACCCACCGCGCGGCTTCCTGATTGGCCAGCTCCCCCCCCCCCCTTCGTGGAAGTATCAGGCTAGGCATCGGAGTACTCGCCCCGAATAATCGCCACCGATACTAGTATTGGTGCATCCCTTCTTTGGCCTCGGCCCCCATAGTGGTCTATAGGACTGTAATGCACAGGCTAGTAAAGACTTGAGGTCCTGAATGTAAACACACCGGAGGGTGTGGCCATTGGGTTGTGGAAGGTGGTGGGCAGGGTTAGGTCCGGGTAAGGGGGGGGGGTCAAAGTGATAAGTCCGATTTGTCTTAAAGTGCACTTATCCTTTTAACTTTAACCTGTTTTAGAATAAAACCCATTCTTCTGTGGTTTCGTTTTGTGTTACACCCCCGGCCATCCTGTTTTTACAGACTGATCCAATGGTGCGGCCGGAGGGATATTTTTACTTTGTTATCAGATGTCTGCTTTAAAGAGAACCGGTCATGATAGGACATATGTCATCATCTATTAATATTATTGGGCAGTGACATAAAGTGTAAGCCCATATTTATTTTGTTGGTTTTTTAGCAGGGATGCTGCCATGCTGCACTGTATACGGCTTTCTTAAAATAATTGTTTGTGTGAATAAGTTGCCTAAATGGGGATCCAATAGCATCCTTTACTGTTGCAGGCTGACCACGCTAAACTACAACCTCGCAATTTGCCGGTCTGGTAGGCAACGCCAAAGTCAACTGAGGGAGCTGGCATGGCAGGCTGACGATGCTGCACCTAAGAGGCAGTGGCTTAGCGTTGTCAGCTGGTGTTACGGGTACTGCCCGACCTCACACACCAAAGTATAGATCTACAAAAACCAAAAACATGAAGATGGTCTATGCATTTTGTAGGCCGCAAAACTGCCTCAGAGTACACAGTTATAACTCCAGTCCAGAAGGGGAGTTCATATATAGATCCATTGAGAGAGAAAGGGGGGGAGTGTTGTTGACCCCAAAACACATTGGCTTTTTTTTTGGGATCGAATTATGAACAACTACAGGCATTTTGTACTCTTTCGTCTTTTGGTTTGGTGCTCGGTTTTGTATGTCTATACCTTGAGTTGCTTACAGGTGCCAACGGGGGAGGCCTGTTTGTTTGAGAGCTGGCTTACCAGTAGGAATGAGCTCAGGTTCAGACTGGGCTCCTCCAAACCTGAGCTCACTCCTCTTAACTGAACCCAGAAGAGACATGGGGCCACCCTCCCAATCGGCTGTGGATCAGGGCATTTCGCGACCCGCAGCTACACATAAACAAAGGGACTAGTTGCTTTTGCTGACATCATTGACCTAATATGACCATATTAGGTCAGCATCATTGACCAAATATCCGCAAGTGGCCATATAAAGTCAATGATGTCACCAGCATCCCACCTGTTTGCTTACATGCAGCTGCAGGCAGGGAATTTCCTGGCTGCAGCTGATTGGGTGGCAGTCAACGGAGTTTTCTTCTAGGTTCAGAGGAGCTTCCTTCCGTGTTTGGAGGAGCTTCCTTCCGTGTTTGGAGGAGCTTCCTTCCGTGTTTGGAGGAGCTTCCTTCCGTATTCGCAGGAGCTTCCTTGACTGTTCGGAGCAGCTTCCTTGAGTGTTCGGAGGAGCTTCCTTGACTGTTCGGAGGAGCTTCCTTGACTGTTCGGAGGAGCTTCCTTGACTGTTCGGAGGAGCTTCCTTGACTGTTCGGAGGAGCTTCCTTGACTGTTCGGAGGAGCTTCCTTGACTGTTTGGAGGAGCTTCCTTGACTGTTTGGAGGAGCTTCCTTTCGTGTTTGGAGGAGCTTCCTTTCGTGTTTGGAGGAGCTTCCTTGACTGTTCGAATGAGCTTCCTTGACTGTTTGGAGGAGCTTCCTTGACTGTTTGGAGGAGCTTCCTTGACTGTTTGGAGGAGCTTCCTTGACTGTTCAGAGGAGCTTCCTTCCGTGTTCGGAGGAGCTTCCTTCCGTGTTTGAAGGAGAGCATTTTTGGACCTAGTTCCTCCCAAACCTGAGCTCATCCCTACATACCAAAGCCGGAGAGCTTCATTTAACTTCTCCTTGCATTTGAACCATTTCAATAAGGATTGGGATCCGAGAGCGTGTTAAACATGTCTTTGTGGAGTTTCCTGACCTCACACACCGTCCCCTAACTCCTCGGAGTGAGCTGCGGTGTCAGGTAGAACCTCATTACTCTGTTTGCGTAGGCAAATGTAAACCTCATCAGCAAACCTGCACAATTATATTAGTTTCAGACTTCATTTCAGACAATTGTGCGAATGACTCGGGTAAATCAGACTCTGTACTAAGCACAGGCAACCTCCTGCTATAACGGGGGTTTTGCTCCTTATGGCTCCATCAGCCAGTATTTATATTGAAATGAGAATTCGTTGTCACTAACAAGTTGCCGTTCACACGTCAGCTGATCTGGACTATCAATATAACCCGAGGGATGGAAACCTCGGCAGTTTGGTCCAACCGCAGACCTCCTCCCTGTATAGACAATCAGAAACCTTTTCATAGCTTTGCAGAAGTTCTTCTTTTTTTTTTAAATGGCTACAATTTTTCACAGGAGTTGATTTCCAGTCCGATGCTGATTGGTCTTGTCTAGCTTTTGCACTATATTTAAGTTATGTACGCATGCTTCTTTGTTCCTGGGAATAATAGCGAATGATGGGACAGAAGAATACTGTTCCTTTAAGAAATATGTAAACCCAAACAGTGAACTTCTCTTATTTGCTCCCTTTTGATCTGTTAAACATCCGTTGGGAAGTCTTTTGTTGAATCTGTTCAATGAATGCCAAAATTAACTGTTGGTCCTGCCAGAAATCACTCGAGCTGATAATGTCCCGTGCTGCACTCTTTCATTTGCCGTATTTTGGGCTCCATAAGGGGCACCGGACCATAGGACGCAGGTTCTGTGACAGCAGCTGTAGTTAGTGACCGCTTTGATTACAGCGCCACGGTCTCTGTGATCACACAGAGCAGACGAAGAACGGACGTTCTTCGTCTGCTCTAGGGGCTCTCTGGTGAGCTCCTAGGCCGTGGTCACGGGTCCCCCAGAGGAGCGGGGGACCCCGAAAAACCACGGCGGGGGAGCCCCGGACACGATCGCCGCCGATCACTTTGTATAGCGAATGATGGGACAGAAGAATACTGTTCCTTTAAGAAATATGTAAACCCAAACAGTGAACTTCTCTTATTTGCTCCCTTTTGATCTGTTAAACATCCGTTGGGAAGTCTTTTGTTGAATCTGTTCAATGAATGCCAAAATTAACTGTTGGTCCTGCCAGAAATCACTCGAGCTGATAATGTCCCGTGCTGCACTCTTTCATTTGCCGTATTTTGGGCTCCATAAGGGGCACCGGACCATAGGACGCAGGTTCTGTGACAGCAGCTGTAGTTAGTGACCGCTTTGATTACAGCGCCACGGTCTCTGTGATCACACAGAGCAGACGAAGAACGGACGTTCTTCGTCTGCTCTAGGGGCTCTCTGGTGAGCTCCTAGGCCGTGGTCACGGGTCCCCCAGAGGAGCGGGGGACCCCGAAAAACCACGGCGGGGGAGCCCCGGACACGATCGCCGCCGATCACTTTGATACAAGTGATCTGATTAGATCACTTGTATTAAACGAGCACAGGCTCCCACTGTACATTTAGTTCTGCTTTAGCAGGGCTAAATGTACCAAAAAAAACTACTCGCCCGGCGCCCGATACGGCATATCCCGGGCGTCGGACGATAGGGATTCGCTCCATAAGACGCACACACATTTCCCCCCGCCTTTTGTGGTGGGAAAAGGTGCGTCTTATGGAGCGAAAAATACGGTACATTGAAAAATACGGCACATTGTTTTGGAAAGACGGAGGTGCTCAGTAGCCCTTACACCAGGGATCTCCAAACTCCGGCCCTCCAGCTGCGGTGAAACTACAAATCCCATGAAGCATCTCTCTCTCCGGTAGTCATGGCTGTGAGAATCTTCCAAAGCCTCATGGGATTCGTAGTTCTACCACAGCTGGAGGGCCGCAGTTTGGACATCCCTGCCGTTGGGTGACAACTCTTCTCCAGTCCAGCAACAGCGAGCAAGCATAGTCACCCTAGGACAGGAAGTGTGTCACTTGCAGGATCACCCTACCGAGAACTAATGCAGCCGCCACGTCTAAGGACTGGTAAGCTAGGTTTGGAAACACTTGTACAGAGAGAAGTCGTTCTCTACCGCGGGGATCTCTTCTCTCCACGACAAAAAGAAACTTGTGATGAAGGCAGAAGGATGGAGACGGAGGACATCCATATCCACAAGCTGGTGGACGTCTGGTCTGTGAAATACATTTCGGATTCATGAAAGACGTTGACAGACCAGGTCTGGAAACCTCCGAGGGAAAGAGATTGTTTCCATATTGTGATATCCATTAGAGATCTTGCTCCGCTCCCTTTGTGTCGTAGGAAATTGAATTGCAAATGTTGCACCATTTTTTTTTCTTTGTTGCTGATTTTAGTATTGAAATGTAAAATGATTAAAACTTTTTTCTGCTCTGAACTGTTTTTTATTTTTTATTTTGTGAATTTATTTCTGTTTCTATAACCAGAAGGTGAAAATAAATGGCTGCGGGTTTGATCGTATTTTATAGAGTGTAATAGTAATATGTAGGGAGGCACCGATTTTTTGTTTTTGTTTTTTCCGGTACTCGGCGATACCGCTGTCGTGTGTCCCGATTTATCGGGTGGCGGATTATGACCCCGTCGCCCGGCTTCCTGATTGCCTGTGAAGCTGGTGTTCTAGCGAAAGAATGCTGACTTCACTTGCCTGGCTTCCTGACCAATCAGGAAGCCGGGTGGGCAAGTCATGAGGTGCCGTCTGGCTTCTTGATTGGTTAGGAAGCCAGGCTGCCTACCAATAAGTGAAGCTGGATTCCTAGCCAATCAGGAAGCCGGGTGGCATGTCATGACCCGCCTCTCTGCTTCCTGATTGGTCAGGAAGCCAGGCTGCCCAGGAACAAGTGAAGCCAGCTTCCTAGCCAATCGGGAAGCCGGGAGGCGAGTCATTGTGTTAAAAATCACCCATAACCGTCCCCTCTGGTCTTCCAAAGACCTCCTGCTTTCCAGCTCCCTCCTCAACTCCTCCCATGCTCGCCTCCGGGACTTCTCTAGAGTCTCTCCCATCCTCTGGAACTCTTTACCCCAACCTGTCCATCTGTCTCCCACTTTGACTGCCTTTATGTTCATTTTGCCCCTTCCTGTTCCAACATGACTGCGCACCACTGCACCAAGCAAGGTCCATAAAGACATGGATGGGGGAGTTTGGGGTGGAGGAACGTGACTGGCCGCACAGAGTCCTGACCTCAACCCCATAGAACACCTTTGGGATGAATTAGAGCGGAGACTGCGAGCCCCTCCCCCAACATCAGTACCTGACCTCACAAATGGTCCAACATTCCCATAGACACACCCCTAAACCTTGTGGACGCCTTCCCAGAAGAGGCGGAGCTGTTATAGCGGCAAAGGGCGGAGCCAACCCAATACTGAACCCTACGGACTAAGACTGGGATGCCATTAAAGTTCATGTGCGTGTAAAGGTGTCCCAATACTTTTTGGTAATATAGTGTATATACAGTATGTACACAGATACAGTATATAATGTGGTCTGTTATAGTTTGAGATGTGATCTTACATACGGCTCTCGTTGTATGAATTTCTCATTTTAATGAACCTTCATCATTGTTTTTATGACAACATTTGCAGAAAATACATGGTAGTAGGCTAGTTGGACGATATTAACACTAGATCCAAAATGTAAAGGACATAAGAGCGCTCTACAATGATGAGGTGACGTTACGGAATGTTCCAGTCAGTCTTCTCATGCTGCTCACAACACAATCCGGAGTGTGAATGATCCGGGGGACATCGTATCTACTACGGAGCAAAAGATCAATTACCGAGAAACACCAGGAACAGAATCTATAACTGAACCCTGAGGGCTGCCGGACGTAACGCCAATACACATCTGTTATGAATTTTCTCAGTTCGGGGAATTTTTTTCTCTGGCTACCCAAAACAAGGTCAATATAATAGAGGACACGGAATCCCGGAGGTGGCCGCGCGTTGTACTGATGCCATTGGATCTCGGGGGCCTCAACCCAAGCTGCTACCCGTGCTGTTCTGCGGCCAGTTCATCGATCACGTGGGGTTTCTATTTCACTCCATCCGTGAAAGGGTTACACCCTATATAAGGTTTGTCCCTGTTGGGGAGATTCGGTATGTGTTTGCTCACTTCCCGATCAATAGAGCCGACCTGTGACAGTTTCATTGTCACACGTCGGCTCTAACTATGAGGATGAGTGTAGTTCACTCACCTCATAGTTCTCCTTTAAGCTCCCAAAACGCGTTGGATATCCCTTTTACTCTAATGAATAAAAAGTTGAGCTGGACTCTCAACCAAACTTCTGGCGCTCTTCTCGCTCTACCTAACTTACCAGTGACCACACAGGAAGTGAAGGGAAATCTCAGCAATACCAACTTGAAGGAAGTACTTTATTTTTAGAAGGCTAGAACCTCTTCCAACGTTTTATTTCTGTCTGCGTAGCTCATTTTGTCTCTTATTTTGTTTGGTGAATTTTTGTCACCAGGACAGGAAGTGAGGGGAAATCTCTCTAACGGAGCTCTGGAGAACAGTAAAACGTGACAGGGGTTCTAAGCTCAAGGTTTTAGCTTGACATATACTGTACAGCGTAAAAAAAAAACAATCCTCCCCTCGTGAGTCACATGAGTGGAAATGATCTTAGCAGATTTGTACTGAAACTCACACATTGATTCCACTCACTTGCTGAGTGCTGAGTGGGAGGGTCTTACCGTTACAGTCAGGATACAGAATACAGGACAAGTAAGACTTTAGGAGTGGTGGGTTACTCATTATGTTTAACTTGATACGGTACATACCACTATATGAGATAACAGCAAGATAACAAATTACACTCCTAGGTAGGTTCTTGGCTATAATATCCATCACTGTGCAGGAAGAATTTAAAGGTTCAGTCCATCCTACATTGGTATTTTAGTGTTTGGTGGATGCTGTAGAGTTAAATCCCCTAAAAGTCTTTACTATACCTCAGGGACTCTTTTGGAGAGATCTCTGCCCGGAGTTCCCGGGTCTGTACACCCGCTGTGCCTATTATGAGGAGCTCCCACCATCCCTGTGCTGAGTTCCCGGGTCTGTACACCCGCTGTGCCCATTATGAGGAGCTCCCCCCATCCCTGTGCTGAGTTCCCGGGTCTGTACACCTGCTGTGCCCATTATGAGGAGCTCCCCCCATCCCTGTGCTGAGTTCCCGGGTCTGTACACCTGCTTTGCCCATTATGAGGAGCTCCCACCATCCCTGTGCTGAGTTCCCGGGTCTGTACACCCGCTGTGCCCATTATGAGGAGCTCCCACCATCCCTGTGCTGAGTTCCCGGGTCTGTACACCTGCTGTGCCCATCATGAGGGGTTCCCACCATTCCAGCCCTGTTACTGGGTCTTCATCTCTGCTGAGCCTAATTTGAGGGGTTCCCACCTTTCCTGCACTAAGGTTCTGTAAACCTTCTGTAATGAGGGGTGTCCGCTATCACTGTGCCGATTGTCCTGGTCTGCACACCTCCTACACCCATAATGGGTGCTCATAATGAGGAGCTCCAACCATCCTTTCCCCAAGTTCCCAGTTTACACCCGCTGTGCCCATTATGAGGGGCTCTCGCCATCCCTGTGCTGAGTTCCCGGGTCTGTACACCAGCTGTGCCCATTATGAGGGGCCCCCACCATCCCTGTGCTGAGTTCCCGGGTCTGTACACCAGCTGTGCCCATTATGAGGGGCTACCACCATCCCTCCCCCCCAAGTTCCCAGTTTACACCTGCTGTGCCCATTATGAGGGGTTCCCACCATTCCAGCACTGTTAGTGGGTCTTTCTACCTGCTGCTCCTATAATGAGGGGTTTCTACAAACTGCAGTATTTGTATGAATTCTGTATTATGTAACAGGAGGAGTTGGGACACACAGAGGTGTGCAGGAACTATAGACAAACAATCTCACGGTTGGAGTCACCAAGACCTCTGGCCCACCAGAATCTACCTCTAACTAAAATACCACTTTAGTGGACCAACCCTTTGTGTTAGCCATTCGTTCACATGTCCTCTCCTGGCTCTGAGTTGTCATGGTCTCCAATATCGTCGCTTTGGTCCAGATGATTAGCCGTCGGCATATCCGGGTACGGCGGACAGTCGTCCTCTGGCAGAATGCTCCGGAAGCTATCCTGATGCAAAGTGACCTCAGACGAGTCCTTCCCAGACCCTACCGACTCCTGGTCGTAGTTCTGAAAGGTGCTTTTTACTTTCATGATGTACCGGCTCAGCACGTTCTCACTTTCTTTAGCGCTGACCACCGCTCCCTTGTCCGATAGGGAACGACGCAACTGTTTAACCTCCGAATGGAGACGGATGACGTTCTTGTTCAGCTCCGTGATCCGGTTGCCAAGATCTGTAGGGATAAAAGCATTGTAAAGATTTGTACTCTGTATAGCGTGTCTATGGTGGGTCCAACACCTCTGGGCCACCATGATGAAATCAGAAGACTTGAGCAGTACTCTCCTGTGCTGACTGTATCAAATGTTGTAGTTGTGTTTGGTTGGGATAGTGTAACCATGACTTGGTGATGATTAGCATCTGGTCATATTGAAATGCCTTATATGGTTCAAAATAATGTGGATCCCCCTACAAAATGATGGAGGTCAGGTGTCTCCAGTGAAGGTTCTTCTACATCATACAAAGACATTGTAGACAATTGTGCTCTTCCAACCTTGTGGTCACAGTTTGGTGAAGACCCTTTTCTGTTCCACCATGACTGTCACCTGTGTACAAAGCTCCATGCTGTGCCCATTATGAGGGGCTCTCGCCATCCCTGTGCTGAGTTCCCGGGTCTGTACACCAGCTGTGCCCATTATGAGGGGCCCCCACCATCCCTGTGCTGAGTTCCCGGGTCTGTACACCAGCTGTGCCCATTATGAGGGGCTACCACCATCCCTCCCCCCCAAGTTCCCAGTTTACACCTGCTGTGCCCATTATGAGGGGTTCCCACCATTCCAGCACTGTTAGTGGGTCTTTCTACCTGCTGCTCCTATAATGAGGGGTTTCTACAAACTGCAGTATTTGTATGAATTCTGTATTATGTAACAGGAGGAGTTGGGACACACAGAGGTGTGCAGGAACTATAGACAAACAATCTCACGGTTGGAGTCACCAAGACCTCTGGCCCACCAGAATCTACCTCTAACTAAAATACCACTTTAGTGGACCAACCCTTTGTGTTAGCCATTCGTTCACATGTCCTCTCCTGGCTCTGAGTTGTCATGGTCTCCAATATCGTCGCTTTGGTCCAGATGATTAGCCGTCGGCATATCCGGGTACGGCGGACAGTCGTCCTCTGGCAGAATGCTCCGGAAGCTATCCTGATGCAAAGTGACCTCAGACGAGTCCTTCCCAGACCCTACCGACTCCTGGTCGTAGTTCTGAAAGGTGCTTTTTACTTTCATGATGTACCGGCTCAGCACGTTCTCACTTTCTTTAGCGCTGACCACCGCTCCCTTGTCCGATAGGGAACGACGCAACTGTTTAACCTCCGAATGGAGACGGATGACGTTCTTGTTCAGCTCCGTGATCCGGTTGCCAAGATCTGTAGGGATAAAAGCATTGTAAAGATTTGTACTCTGTATAGCGTGTCTATGGTGGGTCCAACACCTCTGGGCCACCATGATGAAATCAGAAGACTTGAGCAGTACTCTCCTGTGCTGACTGTATCAAATGTTGTAGTTGTGTTTGGTTGGGATAGTGTAACCATGACTTGGTGATGATTAGCATCTGGTCATATTGAAATGCCTTATATGGTTCAAAATAATGTGGATCCCCCTACAAAATGATGGAGGTCAGGTGTCTCCAGTGAAGGTTCTTCTACATCATACAAAGACATTGTAGACAATTGTGCTCTTCCAACCTTGTGGTCACAGTTTGGTGAAGACCCTTTTCTGTTCCACCATGACTGTCACCTGTGTACAAAGCTCCATACAGACATGGTGTGACCAGTTTGGTGTGGAGGAACTCAAGTGTCCTGCACAGAGCCCTGACCTCAACCCTAAACCTTTGGAATGAATTGGAGCGCCCATTCTGAGCCAGGTCTTCTCATCCAACATCAGTACCTGACCTCACAAATGGGCACAAATTCCCACAGACACCCTCCAAAATCTTGTAGAAAGCCTTCCCAGAAGAGTGGAGGCCTTATATCTGAAAATGGGGGAAGGGCAACTCCATATTGATGCCCATGGTTTTGGAATGGGATGTCCATCAAGCTTATGTACATGTTAGGGTCAGATGTCTGCAGGCTTTTGGCCATTTAGTGTAGATCTGGTATTCCTAAAACCTGCTGCTAATTCTGCCTGGAGAGCAAAACGGGTATATTTCCAGAGGACACCTTTATTTATACAGCTTGGAACCTAACCATCAAGTTGTACAATTCTTATTGTAAGATGCTCCTCACCCACCAAATCTCAATGTACTTTCCAGAAGAACCAGCGTCCGAACTGGTATCTCCGGGAGTACACCAGACGAGGCCCTAACAAACCAGCCTCACACATTTGAAGCTCCCCAACGTTCAGATCCTGAACACCATCATGAGTAGAGATGAGAACATTTCTGAATAGGTTAAGTAATTTGTGGTTCACCTGAAGTTTAAAAACGTTTGGGAACCTATGAAATTTGGAAACTCTGAACCATAAGTCCTATTGATGTCTATAGGAATCAGAACCAAGCTCTAAAAAAAAAAGTGTGTATTACAGAGCAGACAATGATACCAAATTGTGCAGCATGGTTGGGGGAAGCTCCTGGCCGCCATTTATGATGAGATGATGGGGGGGAAAAAACAAAACTTCCATTAACCTCTTCACGACCTATCCCGTCGTGGGTCCTTAAGGGGTTAAACAGACTCCCACCAGGACTCTGTTCATATTTGTCGGCAGGGGCGTCCCGAGGCCAGGTGTCACCCGGAGAGGTTACCGGGTGACACCCCGCCGTGACATCATCGCGCATGCGATCTTATTGTTACCTGCCGTCGCCCATCTTGTCACCCGGCGGGATAAGGTATTCCGCCGGGTCCCCTCCTCTCTCCCGAAACTGTCGGGTGCTTGGTCCATGGCTGAGTGCCCAACCTTTCATAGGGGGGTGACACCAAAATGACAGTCATTTTGGTGTCACCCCTCCATTGGTGTCACCCAGGTGCGGGCCGCTCCCCCGTTGTGGCACCACTGGCTGGCTGACGGCTTTAGAGTATGCTTACAGTATGCTTCTAGGATCCAGTAAAGTGGCCACCTCCCCCCACCATGTTTCCCGGGCTCCACTGCCCCTCCTGCTGGCCCAAGACTGGCATCTCAGGTGCCGGCGGTAAACTGGGGAGGAGAGCAGCGAACGTCCATTTACCGATCTTCCCCGTTCTATGGGACCGGGAGCGATGTGTATTGCAACACTTCCGGTCCCTGAGCTGTCATTGCTCGGCTCCTGGATTTGATAATAAGTTGCGCTAATGTCATGCAATATAAAAAATATTCTACTGGCTCTCGGCTTTCAGAAAATATATATTATGTTTCGGGGGTTTTAAGTAATTTTCAGTCTTAAAATGTGGATTATAACATGTAAACAAAAAACTAAAAAAAAGGCCTTGGTCCTTAAAGGAGAACTATGAGGTCAAGGCTTTTCCCCATAGTTGTCCTTAGGGTAACGGGAGGACACAAACTAACATCCTCCCGTCACCCTAAGCTCAGTATATAGGGAGCTACAGCTCGCGGTATACTGAGACGCCGGAGCGGGTCCCGACATCGATGTCTGGATCTGCCCAGCTGCGTGAGTGACAGCTGGCTCTGCCTATCTAGAGGCAGAGCCAGCTGTACCCGCCCCCTCCCCGTCCGATCCGCCAGTCAGCGTTGGCGGGGAATCATGCCCCTCCCCCTGTCACGGCAAGGGCCGTTACAGGATCGAGAAGTGAGCGAGCGCCGGTATGTGTTCGCTCACCTCCCGATCTACTGAGCCGACCTGTGACAGTCTCATTGTCACAGGTCGGCTAGAACTATGAGGTGAGTGAGAAGCCCCCCCCTCCCCCCCCCCTCATATTTCTTTAAGGGGTTAAAAATGTTCTAGCTGGGATCCTAAGATAGAAAGGGGATTGCCTGGTGGGACTGGCAGTCAAGCCAAGGGGGCTCAAGGCACAGCGGAAGATATAAAGCTGCAGCAAACTTTGGGGCAGCCTTTGGTCCCGTTCTCCCAGAAGACTTTTGGAAATCGGAACCGCCAGAAATAACCCTGAAATTTGGATTTGGACATCTGAATCTTTCAAATTCAGTCTGAAATTGATGTCACCTAAGTTTTAGGACCAACTCATGATTATGAGCCAGCACCTCCTTACGCATCAAAGGCATATAACAATGGGGGATGGGTGGTGGTGGTGGTCGGGTCCAGTTTTACTTTGTTACCTTTCCGTTTGCTTTCCTCGAACTCCCTGCGAGCCGTGTCGATGTATCTCTGCACCAGAGCTTTGATCACCTGCAGGCGGTACGAGATTCGGCTCCCCTCGGACTCTCCAATGCCGACTCCCCTGTTAGACTGAATGGGAAAACATGATCGAGGAGCTTCGGAATTTCACTTTTGATGAAATATTTTCTTGTGGAAACAAAAAATGCTTCAAGACTTTTCTTTTTAATATAAAGAATGGGAATCAACAATTTTTGGACTTACAATGATGGAGATGGGCGGGTAATCTTGCTTCTTCTTGGGTTTGTAGCAGCACACAAATCGAAAAATGGCCCTGTGATTGGACAGAAATACTGGCGTTATTCGGGAGCCGTGCCATACACAGAGGGCAAAGTCCATGAACCCATCGCACTCGAAACCGTTGTTCTGAAGATAATGAGGGTGGGTGCTGCGGCCGTAGACGGTTGGCAATCGTGGTCAATATCAATCGAAATTCATAGACACCAGTGACGTGCCGCGCCTTCTGTGCTGGGTGAGACATCCCCCAGCATGCCAAATTTCCGACCCTGTCCTGCCGAATATCCGCCCCATCCTGTTGAAGCCCCGCCCCAAGCTCGGTAACCAAGCTGTGTAGGGCGGAGGAAGGGAGGAGCCTCCCTGTCCCTCACTTGCTCGTGACTGCTGAGGCATTGAGATCGATTACCTCAGTTGGTTGTTTTTTTTTGGACAGCTTGGACCAATGCCGCTTTGCCATTGGTCCAAGCCATCCACAGAGCTCACGCCTCTAACACAGAGTAGAGGCTGTGACAGCTCTTGCCTCACCAAGTTAGGTTACACAAGCGGTGGGGAAGCCCGCTGCTGTGCAACCTAACTACCTGTCAAAAGCCGGATGCAGCGCCGCCTGTAATTAGCATCCAGCGCTCCGTCCATGACAGGTCACACAGCGGGGGAGGCTTTCCGTGCTCTGTAACCTGTAACAAGCCGCTCTGAATGGAGAAAAAGCTGTCAGCTTCAGACTTGAAGCTGACACGTTTTTTCTTCATAATGCTAGATGAGGCTCCGCCCCCCCTGACCGCACGTCCTTGATAGACACCGGCACTCCAATAGCAAGTCAAGTACGTCTGTTTATTTGACATATGAGCAGCATAAAGCGACATTTCGGGGTCTAGCAGGATCCCCTTCATATCACTTGTTCTGCCTGATAAAGAGGATCCCGCGAGACCCCGTACCGTCGCATTGAGTGTATCACGTTATGCTGCTCATACGCCAAATAAACAGACGTACTTGACTTGCTATTGGAGTGCCGGTGTCTATGTATTTCGTTTGATAGACAGAGGACAACCGTATGTTACAGCAGATGAGGCCTGCGAGTTCAGAAATGGTTCCCATTCATCTCTGTGGAGAAAGAGCTCAAAGGCTTCTAATTCTGAAGAAGTTTGGACCCCCTGATGCTAATTATTTATCAACAAACACATTTCTAATCCAATTAAAGGGTCAGTCCACCTGACAATGAAATATTACATATAGGTAGAGCCTGGTGGGCCCCTTGGCTTCTCATACGTCTTGGATGCTCCAACAGTGAAATCTCTCTGCAATTCTTGACTCAGAGATCTCACCAATAGAATCACCGAGCGATAGAAGAGACTGTGAGGGATTGTAGATGGGGATGATGGAGATGAGGATGGTACCTGATGGAGTAGAAGAGACTATGAGGGATTGTAGATGGGCATGATGGAGATGAGGATGGTCCTTGATGGAGTAGAAGAGACTATGAGGGATTGTAGATGGGGATGATGGAAATGAGGATGGTACCTGATGGAGTAGAAGAGACTGTGAGGGATTGTAGATGGGTGTGATGGAGATGAGGATGGTACCTGATGGAGTAGAAGAGACTATGAGGGATTGTAGATGGGGATGATGGAGATGAGGATGGTACCTGATGGAGTAGAAGAGAGTATGAGGGATTGTAGATGGGGATGATGGAGATGAGGATGGTCCTTGATGGAGTAGAAGAGACTATGAGGGATTGTAGATGGGGATGATGGAAATGAGGATGGAACCTGATGGAGTAGAAGAGACTGTGAGGGATTGTAGATGGGGATGATGGAAATGAGGATGGTACCTGATGGAGTAGAAGAGACTGTGAGGGATTGTAGATGGGGATGAGGGAGATGAGGATGGTACCTGATGGAGTAGAAGAGACTGTGAGGGATTGTAGATGGGGCTGATGGAGATGAGGATACCTGATGGAGTAGAAGAGAGTATGAGGGATTGTAGATGGGGATGATGCAGATAAGGATACCTGATGGAGTAGAAGAGAGATTTTGGAGTGGGGATGATGTTGAATGGAACGGGAAGAGTCAGTCCTTCTCTAAAATAGGACAGATACAATTTGGAGCGGGCGAATTTCCATTCGACGTCAGCGTCGTCCTGCAGAGACAGAGGAGCCAGAAAACGATATTTAGTGTATATTGACTGACGGCCTATAGTTCCCAGGTTGGCACCTTGCCCCCTTTTTGAATATTGGGACTACCGTAGCCCTCCGCCAATCACTGGGGAGATACAGAATGTGTTTCTGCCCTTCTAGTATAACTCTATCCAAAACTCTTATAGTCTCGGATGGTGTAGGGAAGAGTAGATCCCTGCCAGGTTTTTAAAGCTGTCTGTGTCCATGTTGGGAAATTTCTTCTGTCCTGAAGACCATAAGTAAGCAGAAACCTCAGTCTCCCGAAAGTGAAGGGAAACCCACTGAGAGATCTCCCCCCTCACCATGTCCTGATGACTACTATGCCTGAGACAGAGTGGACAAAGCAATAAAAACTTGTCAGGAGCTCTGCACCTTCTTTCCCGCTTTTATTTTTTGAATCGGATAGTTTTATAACGGATGTTGAAAGAAACATTTTACAAGACATACAAAGCAGCACAGTGTCGTAGTGGTTAGCGCTTCTGCCTTGCGGTTCCCCGGTTAGAAGCCCGGCCAGGTCAATCTGCAAGGAGTTGGCACGTTCTCCCTGTGCGTGGGTTTCCTCCCACACTCTAAAGACATGCTGGAAGGTTAATTGGCTCCTCTCTAAGTTGGCCCTGTATGTATGTCAGATAGGGATCTTAGATTGTAAGCTCCTTGAGGGTAGAGACTGATGTGAATGTGCAACTATGTAAAGCGCTGTGTAAATTAATGGCGCTCTTTAAATGCCTGAAATAAAATAAAAACAAATAGTGAATCAAAATGAACTGCGTTTCAGACAACAGTAAAGTAGGTGAAGACATGTATGGTGGGAACATTCTAGAAGAAGACCTCACAACTGTCCCCTGTGGGTTTGAATTGCCACACGGAACCCGAAGAATGTAAAATGAAACCTATAACAGTCAAGTGTCCAAATCCCACTTTTCACGTTCAATTAATTTCATACATAATACATCTGTCATCTGTCCACCGGAATGCTCACTCGTATGACCTTCTCATGGACCTACCTTCCAATGGACCTTCTCCAACCACCAGCATGTTAGCCTGAGGCAGTTACGAGAGAGGAACCTAACTGCGGTGTCTTATCCATTCTGTCTAACCAACAAACCCACTTCCTGTGACATTTCAGTGGACAACCCCTTGTGGTATATGTAAATTTCTTTTAAAAGACAACATTGGGTGCATCTTCCCCAACCATTCCCCAACAGTAGGGGGGGGGCTGTGACAGTAATGAGGTCTGGGCACCCTAAAACTATTGAGGAAACGCTGTTGTCCACTCAGTTTGCTGAAAGTTACCATCTTTTAGACCTGGTTAAACCGGCCTACTTCGTAAACACATTTGTTTTTTAGAGAGTCTTCAAAAGTTCTTCAATTCGAATTGAAGAACTTTTGAAGTTGAAGAACACCAACGTTTGGCACCAAGTGTGGTAATGTGTGTCTTTGGCCCTCTGTACCTCCTAAGACAGGGGTGCATGGTATGTATGGGACCAATGTTTCTGATACATCTATACATATATGATCCGGCGCCGGGTTTTGCCTCCTGTTCCAGGTGCTCGGCTCCCTGCCAATCCACGCTGAACCTCAGTCTTAAATGTTCAGCTCACTTCAGCCTGATGTTCGAGCAACAAGTCGTTACCGAACCCCCTGTGTACTATTTGCCTTGGAACCCTGCGGATTGACATTTACCTGCTTTGTTTCTTGTGTCTCCGGTGATTCCCTTGTGCACTCTGTGAGTTCCTGCTTCCTGTGAGTTTGTCTTCCCCCTGTGTGGCTGTTTGTCCTTGCAGCCTCGCTTCTCTGTCATCTCCGGATAGCTGTGTTGTGCTGTCTTTCTGTTGTCTCCTTGTGTTCCCTTCCCACTGTTGTTTGGGCTCTTGTGTCCCTCTGTATCCTGTACTGCTGTGTGTGTGTGTGTGTACAGGCGTTGCCTCTGTCTGCCCTTGAGTCCAGAGCCCCGGTGCTGCATCAGTTTCCTGAGTCTATGCGGGTGCGCTAGAGGGCCGCAACCTGGAAGATGTCCATCAGCCAATCATTCTCACCATTAGAGGCACTGTGAAAGACGTGGCCCTTCTTAGATCCTGTGCCCCCCGATAACGCACAGACACCTCGTTTCCGAGTCCTCTTCACTGTACCCCAGGCTTCACTCCAGCTTGCTACTCTACACCTCCCCCGCAAAACCCGGAGCTCTCGTGCCCCAGTGCCTCGGTTCCCAGACCGTGACATTGTGGGTACTGGTTTGGGCATGTTTGGCACTTTGTCTTAAAGGAGAACTATGTGGTTAGGGTTTTTCCCCATAGTTCTCCTTAGGCTAACGGGAGGACACAAACTAGCGCCCTCCCGTCACCCAAAGCTCAGTATATAGGGAGCTACAGCTCGCGGTATAATGAGACGCCGCAGCCGGAGCGGATCCCGACAATTGTGCCGGGATCCGCTCAGCTGCGTGACTGACAGCTGGCTCTGCCTATCTAGAGGCAGAGCCAGCTGTACCCGCCCCCCTCCCCCGTCCGTTCCGCCAGTCAGCGCCGGCGGATCGGAGCGGGGAGGGGGGAATCCGCCCCCTCCCCTGTCACGGCAGCTGAAGATCTCATTTACCATCAAGAAACGTGCGTCTAGAGAGCCAATCTCTGATCCATTTTTATGCTTCATTGACTGGACTCTGGGTTTTTTTCAGCTTTATAATGAATTGGTGGGAGCTGGCTCAGTGATGTCTTCTCTATTCAGTCTCAGGCCGGTCTATTCAGACATGATGCCGTGACCCACTGCAGAGGGGGTCGCGACCCACGAGTTGAGAACCACTGCTTTAAAAGGCCCACAAAAAGCTGCTGCACGGGGCAGCTAAAACTCTCCTTTACCATCAAGAAACGTGCATCTAGAGAGCCAATCTCCGATCCATTTTTATGCTTCATTGACTGGACTCTGGGTTTTTTTCAGCTGTATAATTGGATGTGTGACTTTGTCTCAATGTAATGGCTAGCCTAAGATTTTCACTACCTGCTGGTTTTTAATCAGTGCTGTCTCTCAGATTGCACTATACTGCGCACCTACCCGGGTTAGCAGTGTTTAAATAGACTGCTGGACATTCACTCTGAGCCTGATCAAAGACTTTAATCTGTCTGTACTAAGAATCACTTCTTTCATTTTGACTGTTGTAGGGCTCGTTCACACCAGTTGCAGTGCGCCCCGGCCTGATCTTGGCCAGAACGCATTGCCTCGCATTGCGGCCGGCTCACTTTTTAGTGGGGCAGGATGGGGCATGGCGGGCCATTGAAGTGAATGGCACGCCCTTTGGCCTCAATGCGATCGGGCGCACGGGATTGCAAGGCACATTGCTGCAAGCACTATTTTGATCACCCCGGACCGGACCGCAGGCACAATGTAGCTATGGTGGCATTCCCTTCAATGGCCCACCACGCCCCCTCCTGCCCCAATAAAAGGTGAGCTGGCCTCAATGCGAGGCAATGCGTTCTGGCCAGAATCGGGCCGGAACGCATTGCAACTGGTGTGAACGGGCCCTTAGATCTCTGTTTTCTTTGACCGTGCTATCCACTCACATCCTGTGGGCTTTATTTCTGCTCATTGTATTGCCTCAGGATCTGTCCTGCCTGCTAGTCGAATGTCACGTCTAGTGATACGGCGAGTCCATCGAACTCTCTGTGACAGTTAACAAGCAGCTGTACCCAAATATAAAGGAAGGCCCGAAGCGGAGAAAAAAAAAATAAGCGGAGGGCATACATGACCAGATGTATTATTGTTTATATATAGTATGTTTTTATATATCAAAGTTGTTAAGAAAAGGCTGCCAAGGCCATTTTGCACCATTTTGGAGTGTGGTCTAGTTATTCCTTACAAGGACGGGTGGTGGGTGGCCTTGGGGGCTTGTAGTGGGAAAGAATGGGGACATCTATGCTACCTCAGTCATGGCCCACATGTATATATCATATATTTGTTTTTTTAACATGTAATGTTCATTGGAGCGCCAACCAGATGGTTATTCCCTCACACTAGGGCTCAGCTCTCACCTCGATCTTCTGGAAGGAGTTGGTGATCATGGCAATGAGCATGTTGAGTAGGACAATCACCATGATACTGGTAAAGAGTCCATACAGCGCCCGGCCAACAAATTCTGCCACGACGTAGTGGTTCATGTCCACGGTACTCCGCTCCACCATCTGGAACATCGTCCAGAAGAGGAACTGGAAGGTCTCGTTGAAGCTGGAAAAAGCCAAAAAAAGGTGAAGAATGAACTGGCAGGTCTGAGAAATACAAACATCCCTATACCTGCTCTGTGGACTCTTCCACTGGGTTATACAGTACATGGACTTTACCTTACATATAATGTTCATCAAGGATCAGCTGTGTACAGATTAGATGACACCGGCTGGTCTACGGACCGTCAACCCTCATCATAGGCCAAATTTTAAAGCAGAACCCCAGTTTTAGTGTGTTAAAGGAGAACTATGAGGGGGGGGGGAGTGCTTTTCACTCACCTCATAGTTCTAGCCGACCTGTGACAATGAGACTGTCACAGGTCGGCTCAGTAGATGGGGAAGTGAGCGAACACATACCGGCGTTCGCTCACCTCTCGATCCTGTCACGGCTCTCTGCCGTGACGGGAGGGACTGGATTCCGCTCTCCCCGCTCCGATCCTCCAGCGCTGACTGGCGGAACAGACGGGGGAGGGGGCGGGTACAGCTTGCTCTGCCTCTAGATAGGCAAAGCCAGCTGTCACTCACGCAGCTGGGCGGATCTGCCCCCCCTTGGCTTGACTGCCAGTCCCACCAGGCGGTCCCCTTTCTAAGGATCCCAGCTAGAACATTTTTAACCCCTTAAAGGAGAACTATGGGGGGGGGGGTGCTTTTCACTCACCTCATAGTTCTAGCTGACCTGTGACAATGAGACTGTCACAGGTCGGCTCAGTAGATCGGGAGGTGAGCGAACACATACCGGCGTTCGCTCACCTATCGATCCTGTCACGGCTCTCTGCCGTGACAGGGGAGGGGCATGATTCCCTGCTCCGCCAATGCTGACTGGCGGATCGGACGTGGAGGGGGCGGGTACAGCTGGCTCTGCCTCTAGATAGGCAGAGCCAGCTGTCACTCACGCAGCTGGGCAGACTCGACATCGATGTCGGGATCCGCTGCGGCGTCTCAGTATACCGCGAGCTGTAGCTCCCTATATACTGAGCCTAGGGTGACGGGAGGACGCTAGTCTGTGTTCTCCCGTTACACTAAGGAGAACTATGGGGGAAAAGCCCTGACCCCTCATAGTTCTCCTTTAAGCAAACTTCCTGCTTACTGCTGAATCAGGAGCTCTGACTCAGAAGGACCTCTGCAGTAGACATGTGCGATTAGCTTCGTTCCGAAACGTAATTCGGAAGAATTTTCGGACATTCGGATGTACCGGAATTCCGAATGACAGATATACGAATACAAACGAATCCGAATTTCCGTTTCCGAAATTTGTTAGCGGTAGTTCGTTCGCACGCTCGTTTCGGTTTCGTTCGTTCGTTGCAGCAAAGTGACATTAGAGAAGGAGAAAAACATTATTTCGCCCCTCAAATGTCACTTTGCTGCAACAAAACAAACGAACGTTCGAAACGAACTACCGCTAACGAATTGCGTCCGAATCCGAATTGACTTTCACACCCGAATCCCGAAAAACGAAATAACACAAAATCCGAAACGAAACAAATGTTTTGCCAGTGCACATGTCTACTCTGCAGAGAGATCACTGCTTCCACATAGAGGGCAAGGGTCCTCTGCAGCATGCTGGCAAGGGACAGGCTTCTCTACTCTGTGGCTGCTTTCTAGAGAAAATGAACTACAACTTTGAACCACTAATTAATTTCTGTTCACACTAAGAGGGTTAGTAGCTTCGGCTGGATCCTTCGGCGCACTTCGGCCGCCGGAGCCCTTTGGTTCGGTCGAACCGAAGGACTGCTGTACGGGCTATTTACTATAGGCCGTACACCAGCCGAGCCGAACCCATATGCTTCGATTTGACTGAGCCAAAATGACAGCCGAAGCCGACCGATCTCCGCGCAAATGACAGCTGGGCGGAGCCAACTGTGACCTCACGGCTGGCTCCGCCCAGTTGCACTGACAGATCAGCTTCCCCAAATGACCTGGGGACGCTGATCTGTCATTGAACAAACAACAACTGGGCTGTCATGGTCGGCTCCGCCCAGTTGTTATTTATTGCCCGGGACCTGTTAGAAGACTCTGGCAGGTGCCGGCCAATAGGAAACAGTTGGAACGGAGCTGGCGGTGACATGTCACCGCTAGCTCCGCCCAATTGTTTATATTTTGCCAGCATCTGTCAGATTTGACATTATGCGGCGGGAGTTCGTTGCGTGCGGTCAGGTTCGGCGTGCGTCGTTTTTTAATATTTTCTTTTAAAATATTTTAATTTTTTTCTGAACTTTTTTTTATTCTGTTTTTAAACATTTTTTTTTTTTTTTATTTATTTTAATTTTTTTCTATTCAGCTCCGTACCTCGGAGGTACCGAGAAGAATAGCCGAGCCGAATGCCGCTCGGCGCCGTTCGGCTATTCACTCGCTGCCGTTCTGCCCCTATGAGAATATATGAGAATAGGGGGCGAACGGCAGCGAGTGAGCT